GGGGGGGGGGGGGGGGGGGGGGGGGGGGGGGGGGGGGGGGGGGTGGCATAGGTGCGGGGGATTGCAATCCACGTGCCCTCCTGCCCTTCTTGTACGGGGGCTACGCCGTTGCATCTGTCGGGAGATTATACCTCTCCTCTTCCTAAACACTGCTCTTACATATTATGCATTTGAGGAATATGTATTATTTCGACGCAAAACTTGGATGAGTGCACGGAGGAAATGTAAGATTAACTACTATGCATACGAGACTGTCGGTGATTCCAAGCAGCGTTGTGCCGGTTTCTTTGGCGTCCAGCGTCCAGGCAAGGGTCTAGGGACGAAGGTTGGTGCAAAATCGCGCCGCGCAACAGAGCGCGGGGGGGAATATTTTCAGTCATCAACGGGAGAAGGAAATGTTGACATGTTGCTCTTGTGGAAGTGACTCTTTCAACAGAGCCTTTGTTGACTACAATGAGCGCTGACCATTTCGCAAACGCGGATTGCCGGGTACGCACCACCACAACACGGATCGGATGTACTTGGTACGTTGAGAGACAGGCGGGTGAGTGGTGAGGCAAAAAGGGTCACAGGACACACACGCTTGATGACCCCCTACTTGTTCTGCTCCACTCTCGATGCCGTTGACACAAAACGATTCAAGTCTTCCTTGGCATGAGAAGTGTTCCACCAATGAAAGGCCTGAATATGAATAGCATGTGCTGCGTGGGTCGTTGTTGTCTGTCAACTGCTTGTTGCAGGGGCTCCCTCCCTCTCACGTTCGGGCTGGAGTCACGTTGAGCACGCGGTTAATCCCGAGCTCCTTCAGAAGCCCCCGGTTCTTGGCGTGCACGCGGCTCCCAATATACAGGTGGTCAAGGACCCGGGAGGGTCTCTTGTCGTCGCTACCTGAGCTGCTCATCGCCTCCGCGGGCAGCTGTTGGCGTGGGTTGGTTGCCTCCGCCTGCGTATGGTATGTCGTGCTGTCAGTTGAGGTTGCCTACAAAAGAGGGGCTCCGCGAAATGTATTCCGGGACCGTGCCCGTAGAGATTCCGAGGCCTCCAAACGAAACCGCCAACTCATCCTCAATTCAATATTTCTTCGACGACAAGGTCTCCTCATGCACATGTAATCATGAAAATATCAAGCAGCGCGTTCCTGCTGCAAAAGTCTACAAAGGATAACGGCCGACACAAGTACTTGGCTTCTCTAGTATAGCATATCTTGTCGCTTGTTCAAGAACATATCTGGAACAAATATGGTATGATATGCAAACCGCAGGGCAGCAGTAGTTGTGGATACAAGCTAGTCTCCACCTACACAGCGACCGGTAGCCACGCCGGGAATATGATTTCTGGCGGACCAAGACCTTACTCGGCGGGAGATGGTGTTCGACGTGGTAAGCGAGAGGCAGGTTGGCAGCGCCTATCTGAATCAGCACGTGTTGACGGCATGCGAGGTGGTCCGTTTGCCGCGTCTTTCCCCTCACCGGCAATCATTTTTGACTGTTGCCGCTTTGCGGGGATGACGCACACGTGTCTTCAAATACATCCGTTGTTTGTTACCGCCTTTGGTACAAACACCCCCTTGTGGGCTCACACCCGTGCTCGCCACCTACGAGATCGAAGTTGGTACGGGCTGCCAGCGCCTACAGCAGTAGGCATACATGTACCCCGACGTATTAAAAACTTGGAGAGGGGGAGAAACCTGTCTGAAGAGTACCTCCATGAGTGAAGCAGTGCTTGAAGTGCAACGTCTGGCTGTTATGACGCAGAGACTACGAAAACACGGACCATCTCAACAACATGTACGTACCGCGTTCAGGTTGTGTAAGGACATACACATACAGTAGTAGACAAAGTACAGTGTAGTTAGGAGTCTTAGCCTTTCAAGCGAAGGTAAGGATTCTGAGAGTATCCGTGGGCGTGGCGGTACAACCTCGTCCTCTACGTTGTACAGTATGGAGACATTCTCTGGGAATAACCAAGGAACATGCATGCAAGTTGTATTCTGGAAACCCATTCGTAGGCGCTGCTGATACAGAGAGGCATGAGTGCAAGTCTTCTTCAACGGTATGGTTAAAATAGCTCTCCACTTCGCGCAGGACTGTCTTCAGGTGATATTGTGTACATGTAGTGCGTCAATGCTGAAGGCCCTTACACCCCAACGCTTTACGCGATAAAACGCACTCTGCACCTGGTACACGCAGACAAGAGAGGATTATTGCACGTCTTTGAGGATTTCAGCGTATATTCCTGTTCATTTCGGTCTAAGTATGGTCTCGATCATCAATGACTCGCCTTCAGGGTTGGTGGGTGTTGATCCTCCTCCTCCTCCAATTCGTCGAGACTCGTCACTAGAAAGGGGCATCATCGGGGCGCCTCCTCCCTTGGTGCGAGACTCCGACCATACCTTCACCGCCGCCGAAGTGGAGCGGCTTCTTGCCGTGCGCGAGAAAGAGGTCAGAATATGTGTATGCTATAAAAACGCGCATGCCCCAGGCGACCGTTGACAAGCCGGCCTATTGGGCAAGCTACAGTCAGATATTTGGCTGGGTTCGTCCTAGAACACCAACTCGTCACCGCATGCATGGTCATCTTGATCAAGCGTCTTCTCGTGTCCTCGCTGCCCGCAGCTTGTAGCCGTGAAGGGAAGACTCCACCGAGCATCAAAAAGGTGCGATACTCTAGAGTCAACGACCTTGGTGCTTAAACAGGAGGCATCGAATTTCAGGAGCACTGTTGAAGAACACGTGGCTGAACGCGGTGAGAGGTGCAACGATGAGAATAAGCCAGGTGCCGCAGGCAGGGTACAGCTATCCATGGGAAACTTATGTTATTTGTACATCGGTTAGAGAACCTAAATAGGCCACCGGTTAATACAAGCGCGGCTGTCCTACACCTGCTGATCCTACTCCCTTTCCCCCTCTACCTACCTGGTTTGCTTCAGACGCGCTGCAGCTCCGCGTGTCTGAGCTGGAAGAAGCGGTGAAGCGCAAAGCCAACGCTTTGAAAAATGCCAATCGGCGACGAGAGCAAGCCCAGGAGGCCGCCACCTCAGAAACGGCCCGAGCGTGGAGGGCGGCACAGCTGGCGAGGGGCGCGCTTGAGGAGGCAGGGCGAAAACAAGACTCCTTCAGAGAACATGCACGAGAGGCCGAAGCACGGGTCAGCGGTAGTGTGTTGGTGTTGGTACAGGCGATCAAAACCTTTAGAGCTACCGGGATCGCGATCGAAATATATGTTATTCTGCTTCCATGGGACATACGTTCGTTGTGTTGGTGGTTTCGGCAGTGCTTTTGAGAGGAGTGGTGTGTGTTGCAATTACGCTGGCGAGTTGGTTGCCGTGATTGTTGGCATACAGTATCTGTGGCAATATTCGTCCCCATGCCTTTCGCTGGCACGTACTATCGCCCCGCCTTGTGAGTCCCGATCAACGGTTGTCGATGACCTGTTGGGATTGACCCAGCTGCCTACTACAGAAACGACATAGCGTGCTCAAGAAGCTTTCACTATGTCTCCCCAAACAAACGAAGAGTCGTTGTCCGCCACGGCCAGCAAGGCCACTGCAGCGTGCGCAGGTCGCCGTTGTTGTTTGCATTTCGAGCATGATCCACACGAATAGACTATGTGCGCAAGTCCTTGTCTGGCACATCGTTGTCCGGCCAGGTGAAGGGGCTCGAGCTGAAGCTAGAACTCTCGGAGGCTCAGGCAGCAGACACCAAACATGCGGCGTCGGTGGAGCTGGTGGCTCGGGCGTCGGCTGAAGAGCTTGTTCGCGCTGAGATGAAGGCGACCGTGGCTTCAGCCGAGAAAGGTACCCTAGGAGTTGGTAGCCCTTTGGCGAGTAGGTCCATTCGGTTGGCATGGCTGGAACTCCAAACGTTTTACTCCCAACGCCATATCAGCACGTTAACGGTTGTGCGCGCCTCCGACGGATTATAGTACAGGCCAATCTAGTGCAAAGCTCCCGAAACCTTTTCTCTCAAGGGAACAGCGAAACGTTTCGACAACTTTTTTTTTGTCTGTGCTCCATCTCTGTCGAAAATTGTGAAGCCTAGATGTACACGGAGACAATACCTTAGATGGCCCTTGTTCGCTTCAGATGACCTTTAGCCCACAACGAAATCACGGCTGCTGAAGGTCTCCTTCGACCGTATATTGAAGGCAGTTAGATGCGTACTGCCGTTGGCGTCTACCTCCACATGCGAGCTCAATCTCACAAAAATTATTCAAAAATTGATTGCATCTACCACAGCTATTCAAACGTAAAGCACACAGTAGTGAACGCTACCATGGATCTGGCGGAATGCCGGTGTCGTGTCAACCTGATTAAAACTGGTTTCGACGCCAGAACAAGGCTTGTTGAGGGCGAAGCTCAAGGAGGCGCTTGAAGGATTGCGGCAGAAGCAAGAGGCCGAGCGAGAAACGGATAATCGGGAGTTGCAGGTGCCAAAAATGCAATTCCATGATTCTTCCTAGTCCGTACGCGCTCTAGGATGTCAGAGGTAGGTCAAAGGGACACTTGACAGGAAGCCATGTCTCCAAATATGAATCTATCACTTTTTCGAAGGTTAGGCGATTGGAAAACCCCGCTCGAGCTGTGTGTAAAAGGCGTGTCGAAGTTTCGACAACATGTGCACGTTCGAACAACATGACGGTGTCCGAGTTTATGGGCAGTTCGGATATCACATGTAACTGCGACCGTCAAAGGTCTCTAGGACGATTCCTCCCGGCGCAAGCTGTTGTGCTGGTGTTGGAAAAACTCAGTGTTACCACGAACAGTGACAAAACGCATGGTCCCATGAATTGAGGAGGACTTTGGGGACTTATACAGCACCGCCTACACATGTAGAGCACCACAAACGCCTGGTTCTAAGAACGTCCAAGACGAAGTATTCGATGGGCTCGCTCTTACCTACTCAGGCGCAGGACAGACGTACGCGAAAACGATGTAGCATTGATTGTGACAATATGAGCAACGTGCTTCCCTACCCGCTTGTATGTAGCTCCTACGTCCCGGAACGTACGATGTTGACCTACTATGTGTGATAGGGGCTGACCATTTCCTTCCCACCTCACAGGCGGCAGGACGAAGGAAGCGCAGAACATACCATCTCCTCAAAGTCATAGAAACACCGTTTGTAACACGATTTCGGACATTGTCGAGTGCAGGCATGGCGGGAGCGAGTTGCTTGCGGAGATGTTGTGGAAATGTCTCCGTCCGAGGTGAAACGTCTCCAATGGTCGGAAGAGCAGGGGGAGCTCTTGAAGGAGGCCAACGCGACCATCAGGTATGGCTTGAAGGCCCTACCTGTAACAGGTTGAGCGCCCTGACTTTGTGAAATCCTTCGTTTTTCATTTGTGGCAGCGTTGACGGTAGAATATTTCCCCGTTTTACTGCTGCATTCCTGACCAACACGAAAAGTGCCTAAAAATACGACATGTCTCATGACTAGGGACGCATGCTCGAACTTTCGCGATCCCTGGCATCCAGGAATCAGCTCCTGGAGTCCGGCAGGCTCTTGGCAGAAGCAGAGCACTCGTTCAGAACCGTGACAGCCGGGTTCGAAGACGCAGCGACTACCATCACGAGGCTGAGCGTTGGGCTAGATAAAAAGAAGAAGGAGTTGCAAGAGGTAGAGAGGGCGCTGCGGGCGTCAAAAGCGGAAGCAAGCAGATTGAAGAAGGCAAGTATCTTGCTCACCTCGATTTCACTCTGAGAGGCGATGACCCTTTTTCGGGGATGGGAGGTAACGCTTAAACACGAACTTGGTTGTGTTCGGAACAAATGCTGTCCACATCGAGCCACCGGTGTCGTCTCCGTCTTCCTCTCTTCTTCTGCTGTGAAGAGTGGAACCGAAGCTGGGGGAAAAGTTGTTTCGGCTCAAACTGCGGATCTTCGTGGGGTATAGCCTCATATTTAGGCACAGGATGATGCAGGGTTGGTCATCCCCTCCGAAGAACCTTAACTCAACCCAGTCGTGCATCGCTTTGCTGCACCCGCCAGTACGCCTCATTCTTTGTTTCCCTTTGTCGTCCCGCCTAGTGCTCAATGTGATTCTTGAATTTCAACCTCTCAAGTATTCTTCAATTATACGTTCCACCCTATTGCTCTACCGATTGACCACATGTCCGTGCCGCTCTGTCGCCCTTGTCAACTTGGTTCTCGTGTGGCTAGTGTGTGACATCACTACAGCTAAGGCTAAGCGAGCAGCAAAGGCGCCTACGAGGAAGAGAAAGGGAGCTCGAGTCGACCCAGAAGGGGATGGAGGCCCTCGTGAGGGGAAGACAAAAGGAGATTGAGGCAAGATCGAGAGAGGTAAGGGTTCCAGCCCTTACCTGTGGCGTGGAATTCACGCCTGATTTCTTCCTGTGGAGACTCTAACGAACGCAACCCAACCCGCACGAGGCAGCGTCCATGTCTGAGACCAGCACAATAGTCTTTGTTTTGGAGGGTGTCGTAGAACATAAAGCAGCTAAACTCACGTCAACTTTCGCCTTGGTTGTTTCTACAACCATTCCCCGCCATATTCTAGTAGCTTGTGAATTCATAGGGAGATCCTCGGCATGCGGAAAAAACTTCGGTTTGAACTTTCGCTGCGAAACCGGACGACCAAACAACATTAGACTAAAAAGAAGGGAGAGAGAGTGGCCTGTGGCTCCGAGTGGTAAGGTGTGGTGGGTGAATTTACTCCGGCTGAGAGTACTGCTTTCTCAGGGCGGACAGATCAAACCAAGTCCAACATCTAAGCACATCCCCTCCGAGTATGAGATTCAACGACTCTAACAGATCCACTCCGAGAAATATCCGGAGCGAGTAGTTACGCTAGGGCCGGTCAAACCCGAGGCTAGATGATGCATGGCCGGAACAGGAGCGCCTCGCCTATGAACCGAGCCGAGGGAAGGTACTCGGGGGTCGTACTGCCGACGCCAAACGCATTCTCACATACTCTCATACCTGCTCGTGCTACTGGACTAGATTCTTGGTCTCGGCTGCAGTGTAAAAACAGAGGTACGTATCTTGCTTGATTTTCAATTTCCAACTTTGCTGCGACTCTTTCACCCGAATTTCCGTCAGGCGGTCAAGCGGCGAGATGTGGAAAAGGTGGCAGCCAACGCCGCCGAGGAGAAGGCTCTCCTGCAACGGCGAGTGGAGGATGCGGAAGAACGCTCACGAGAGTTATGCGCGGAAAGGTTGGTTCTAAATAAGCAACCAGCGATGTCTTACAACCAAGATCGCGGAGCGGATTGAATGATCTGGTTGGCCACGCCAATGGAGGATTCAAGCTCCCTAATGCAGGGAATAGTTGCACAGTACTGTAAATCCCAAATTCGGTGTACTATGCTGTGGATCGCGTGCTGCAGGGTGTACAAGGTGAGTGAATACGAAGCGACCGGGGAAAAATCCGACCCATCTGCAATTGACATAGGGGGTGATGCCTTGTGGGTGCACCCCAAAAGATTACGGGCTCCCTCACGGCGAACGCCATCCCTGGTTGTCATGCCGGGATCTAGACAACAAACGTTTTCAGGAAATGCCCGGACTCGCAACGCCACTCCCGTTTTTCGTCTTGCTCTTGTTCTCCAACGCTTCCATGGCTTCCAAGAACATGGAGCAAAGCGCGTCAGCCCGTACGCTGGGCTTGCTTCGGACACACTCGTTCAAATATTTTGTATGTAGAGCAACGAGCGCGTGGAAAAGCGTGCTGGGAAAGTGTTCGGCTTCTTGAACCAAAGAAGGGGCAGAACGACAACTCGCAGCTTTCAACCGGAATCAATCGTTCGATCTACTTGTAAACACAAAGTTGACCAATCACAACAATGTCTGGTCGCCTGATGCAATACAGGCACGTTCTTCTTGAGCACGTGGCCGCCGCTCGACGAGATGCAGCGTCGGCGCGGTCAGAAAGGAATGGACTGATCACTTCATCACGTCGTGTGGGTAAGGACGTGACGACACACCTTGATTGTGTGACGGAAAATCGTCCTTCAGCTTCGGAGATTGTTCTTTAGTCTCATGGCGCTGTTGTTCTCCACGCGGTCGGACTCTCCTCCGATCGAGCGAAATTTTCTTCCTGGGACCTCCTGCTTGTAGCCTTAACAACGGGCCTCGTCTCTCACAACTTTCATCCGTACGACACACTCAAAGTGCTGCAAGTGGCCACACCCGAATACGCAGAAGTTTGAATTAATAATAACATCGTGTTCATCATCGACAGAATAAACCGCACGTTGATCGCGTTCTTGCTTCCACGTCCGTTGACATCAACGAATGACGCCTGACGAAGCTCTCAACATGTCAAACCAGAAGGAGGCCCCCGCTTGCAACGATAGGCCTACATATCTAACACATGCGTATTGTGGCATGTGCATCGGGCTCCAATTTTCGAGACACGCAGTCGATGTTCACACTTTTCTCCTCGTAGTATCAGGTCGAGTGCCGACCAGCTCCAAAGGCATGTTCTTGTTAGAACTTGGCGGATGTTGTCTCAATCAAGAACAATAAACCATCCTACAATAGCGGCATCAGCCTACGCCCTGCCGGTGCTCCCCACATTGAATCAAGGGCCAGCACCGGCATCAGCATCAGCAGCAAAGCCGACGAGAGAATGGCAGAGGGAAACCCGGAACCTACTGGAACGCGCAGTCTCGGACTGGTCGGTTCAAGTATTGGTCCATTCCGCCTCCACCTCCGTCCCCGACGATGACGAGGAGGGCAACACCTCCATGAACCCAAAGGCGTCATGTCAAAAGCCGAGAGACTCATCTTTGGTATCCTCGTCCGGGGCATGTTTGAGAAAATCCCCGCCTTCGAAGAAGGCCTTCGCGGTTGAAACACCGGTAAAATGCCCACTGGGTATGGTGGCGGGCGGAGATGCTGCAGAGAGGAGCAGTGGGCAAAATGAAATTGGCTTCCGCCAGAAAAACGTGAGTCATGTTCTGATGGTTCCCCGTAAACACTAGAGAACGCCCACGGCTAATGTATGGTAACATTCTGGTCAAAGGTATATGACAACAGCTACACCCCAAGATGTCCGTCCGAACGCTCCGCACCGCCATGCTCTCACCCGCTTTCATATACGCTCAACCTCCAACACCGTCTCAATGTCCGGCTTCACAGCCGGTAGAAGTGGTCCGGGTGTACCGAGCTCCAAACGGCAAGGAAACAAGCCATGCCTCTGGGTGGCGCTGGGATCTGGTACTTGCGGCTGGAGCTGGCGACGGCGAGTATCCCATTGTGACGCACTACTTCGGAGTATGACGGTGTTCGGCTGAACAAACAGGCTTTTGACCTCTGGCGCCAATTCAAGCCGGGGGTGACAGTGCGGAGTGTGATAGATCTTCATTCTCCAAAACGGTGTACATCATGTTCTCATTGAACGAAAAAAAGGTCTCCCGGAATATGTGGTTCAACTGACGTTCGCCAAACATGAACTCGAACACAAACACCCGCAGAGCCCGATGGCACTCGCGAGACCATGGCCGTGCTCGGCCTTGATACCCTAGGGCAGTCCCTACGAGAGCGGGGAGTAAGGGGGGAGGGGGCTCGAATGGCTCTGACTGCGGTTGCGCGGCTACTCGGTGCTCTTCGTCTCACGAGGTACATTTGGGGGGTGGTGCCGGGTATTGCTGAGGTGGCAGTACGCAGGACACAAGAGTGGCCGTTTGGCGGTGCAAGCATGCGAGAGTAGACGTCACCGATGTGACGCTCTAAAGCGCTTGCTTGCCAAGAAGAACATGTCGACCGCATATTGGAGAGGGAAGGAAGGCTTACTCAACCCTTCTTGTTTGCGAAGATAATCATACCGACTGTTCTATCGAAGAGGGCAGGAGAGTTGCTCAAGATTCTTGTGACAAGCTGGAAGGCGTTTATGACGAAGGCCCTGTTCTGGGCGATCCCAGATCGATACCTTACGGTGCAAGGATAATGCATGCAAGGGAAACGTACGAGATGATCGAAAACAAACAGGAAGCGCCATCCTTCTTTGGGGTCTAGGCCAGCACGCGTGGGGAGTACAGCACTAGTTTCCCCATCCTCTTGGGGGCTTACGTTCCTCTCATATGGCAATCGCTGTAGTTGCTTCCGCTCAAATTCTCCTCTTGCAGTGACTCCATCCTTAAGCCGCCGTCTGCACCATCCCCATTGGGTTCGTCGATCTGTTGAATGGAACGCAGTTGTGCATTCGTCTACTCATCCTATTCATTTATCGTGCAAACAACGAAATAAAAACCCACCCCAACTCCTTCTTCGGCGTAAATGCCCTTGCCACCAGGCGTTTGGCGGCGCAGCAATGCGCCGAGGTGAGGACAGAGCTGGCCTTGACGCTCGGACGCCTTTCCTGTCGCGCGATGCTTGTTTCCGATACTCGGGCGGCCGCTCGGCGAACCTCAATCTGCAACCGGACCGTGTTGCTGCGACTCGTTCGTTCGGAGATGCAATTGTGGCGCTTGCGCGCTGCGGCAGCAGAATTGCAGCAATCATCGAATGAAAAAGAGGTGAAGTCTTGTCCTTGATGCGGCCAAAGCAGCGAAGAGATGTTCTACGTCAGGGTGGCCTCTAGGGCAAATTGCGTGCATTGGTTAGCACAGGCCAATCAGATGTTTTGTCCCACCGTAGTACGCCAGTCAGAAATGTCTGTTTGTGTAGTTGTGAGTGAGACGAATTCGATCAATTTTCGTTTTTGACTGTTGTTGTTGACGGATCCCTGCGCTGCCTACTTCGAACTGGTCCGCGCACCGCAGGCTATGAGAACGGCTCAGGCGGAACAGGGCGGGCTATTTTTCTCGCCCGGTGAAGGTGACGCAAACCCCAGCACCTCCGACGATAAGCACCCAGCGAATGTCCGTAGATATCAGGACGCCGAGCGTGCTGCTGTCACTATGAACTGGGGAACAGACAGTGAGACAGAGGCCGCAGGTGACGGGGAGGAGGAACGGGAAGACGAGGACGAGGAAGAAGACGACGACTATGACGACGATGAAGAAATCGAACGCAGCAAAGGTGGTCGCGGGGAACGGAGATCGAGGATACAGCCCAAAGGGAAAGAAGGGACCGGGTTCGAGCGAGCGCAGCGAAAGAAACATCCTGCTGGGGCTGGCTTCACCCTCAACCTTTCCGGTGTCGACCTCGACGACCAAACACTGCATCAGGTGACATACCCTGTTTTTATGCCTTGACACTTGCCTATTCACACATTGACCCCCTTGTGCTACTCTAATTTTCCGGGCTCTTGGAAATCGTTGAGGTTAGTGGGGGTGATCACGGACAAAAGTGGACGACGGGGCTTGGCCAGGGTAAGAAAGTTTGGACCTCCTGGTGACAACGCCATGGCGATGTGAACGGTCGGCGGTCCACCTTCGTGCGGCCAATGATGCAGTCTGACCATGGTTCTACAGGCACGGAACGGACGAAAACGAACATGACACCTCGTGTGGATACTATGTGACCACGCAAGCAACCGTGGAAGTATAGTTTAGGGCTCTAGCGCTCTCTCGGAAACCTTGAATACCGAGGTGTGCCGACCACACGCTGGCAACATGCCGGGCGTCACCTGGCACTGGCACAATGCTAAGCACAAGTCTTGTCGGAAGTTTCCGAGCTCAAAATTATGCCGAAACTCGAGGAGAAATGAAATTACCGCGATGGTTCCGGGGTGCCCACGCTAGGTGCCTCTGAAGGGAGCCCACTCAACCCACTTCAGAGCATGCATACCCACTTGCAGACAGTTAGCACCTGTGCTGAACGGAAGCATTCTCACCAGTCGGGTCCATATCTTCCGACTCCGCATTACTCTGTTTTGCAACGTACCGATAAACGAAATGTGCTACTGAAAGGTTGAATCACCCTGTCAAGGTTTTCACGGTAGCACGGCAATTCGAACATCCGTGTTGGTACACTCTTGACAACAACACATGCGTCACCGTGCGCACAACCCTGCCCCCTGCCGTTCCGCCTTGGGCTCGAAAGGTTGTTCGAAAGCTCTTGCGGCAGTGCACGGACCGATCGCGAGCATGGTCGGGTGCAGGAGCGATGCACGAGCAGCAAGGGGGAGCTGGCAAGGACGGCCGAAACGGACAGAACACCTTGAGCAGCAGCACTATTATGCCGTTGAGGTGTCTGTTGCTGAGGGGAAACAACCTCACCGACGCGGGGGCGATAGCCCTTGTTCCGCTGGTAGAAGCGTCTTGCAGCCTCGCAGCGATTGACCTTCGCGGAAACAGGATTGAAACGAAAGGGGAGCTGGCTCTCAAAAAGGTGATGGCGTGTGGAGTTACGGGGGGAAGAGCAACGAAACGATCTCTCGAACACCGGATCATGTTCGAAGAATCCTTGAATCAGGGCGTAGCGACTATCGTGCAGTAGATCACATTTTGGAGGCTAGAGATTTCGTTTTGAGGCCAGCGGTACGTGGTGTGGAATATTTCCTAGGGAACGAACATTTGACGAGACGACCCGCAGAACTGAAGCACAACACACCAATGTTCTTATTGTTTGGTGCCACTATATCAGCTCGTGCTACCTTTCTAAGTAGGGGGTATCTGTTTATTCTCAATGGCTGGTTCTTCAGGCCTTGACGCGCAGTCCGTGGGTCTACCGTGTAACCAGCGAAGAAGTGAGCGGAAGCGATGCCCGAGAGGGCTCCACCTCCACCGGTGGGGTTGTTCTGCGCGCAAAGCGCCGGCCGATGTCCACGGTCAGGGATAGAGCGCGGGCGCATGCGTTTAAGAGGATACCACCTTCGAACAAAACGATCCCAGGGAAAGCGACTATCAGCCCGGGCCCGTGTTCTGCCAGCATTGGTCAGCCGGGGGAGTATCACGCTGGAAACGACAACGGCGGCCACGCGCCAACACACGGGTCCTCGATCGGCTGTCGCCAAGACGAAAATAATGAAGGTCAAGGTGCAAACCGTCGGAACGGTGGTAGCAACCTGACACCTCCCACCGATTTGGAAAGACTCATGAACACGCCCATTGCTGCGTCGCCTATATGTACGATTGATCTTCGGGGTTGCCCAAGAAGACCGCTACCGCTTCCGTTGGCTGCTGTCGGGGATTTTGAGCAAGGGGAGCACCTGTCGCCTCCGACACCATCTCCGACTCGAGTGGACGGTTCACCATCCGAACAGCAACGTCATGGCTGCGGCGGCGTGGGTCGTGGCAGCGACCGACATCAAGTAGGTCATGCCGAGACTTGTGTCAACCAAAATACCTCCTCAGTACCAAGGCGATTCGATGCAGCGAGCACAAGCAGCGGACACAACGGCCAGGTGACGCGCCTGATGAGGACTGGACTTGCAGCCAACCTCATGGGATCAAGCTCGCGTCGTCCCCGCTACACTCGACGGCGAAAACCCGCTTCGCGAGGCGAGGATCGCCTCTTTGCCCCAAAGTCTGCCCCGAAGTCCGAGGCTCAGGAACTGGAAGATCTAACGTCACTATTGAGCATATCTCGAAGAATATTCGGCAGGACTAAGGGGTTCGAAGAGACCCACAATCTTCCCGAGGAGTGTCGCACCCAGGGTGCGACACGCGCTCCAAGGTCGCCATCGTCCGAGAACGGAAAACGTCCCGACAGCAGCGGAACAGAGACTGATACGTCGAAAGCAGGGCTTCCCGGGACGGTCCTAGTTGCAGGGCTAGGCAGAAGTCATTCGACAAACGAGCCCGAAGAGACAGATAAGTGCGACCAGATGCCGTCATCAGCAGGGAAAGGCGACACCACAGCATCCACAAAAGCGGCATGTGCCGAACGGCCACAAGACGGTCGCGAGATAAGCTATGTTAGTACCGGCAAGGAGGCCATTGAGGGCGAAGGGTATCCTGCGGACAACGCAGCGCCTTCCGGCCAAGCACCGCCTGCCTCTATCAGCGCCACTCACCCCAGGGGTGTGCAATGCGACGACCGGACCCCTGAAGTGCCCCCCACGGCCGAACCCTATCCGCACGAGGAAAGCCGGGTTGTGATAACCGGAACTCCCTTTCCGGCGCAAGACTTCGATGCGATTGCTTGTCGTTCCGTCGATGACCCCCCGCACGAGCCGGCCACCTCCTCGCCTCCTCCGCGAGCGTTCCCCGCGATCTGCGCCGACGCACGGCGGACCACCACCACCACCACCACGGCGGGTGAATCTCACTATTTGGAAGGTGCCGAGAAAGCCGCTGTCGTAGACGACGCAGCTACCGCGGGCGACGTCCAGTACTCCAACTACCAGAATGGCGAAGACGGGTGGGCTTACGACGAGGCGACCGCGGTGTGGTACTCCGTCGACCCTCTGACCTATGGAACGACCGCCGAAGGGCTTGGTGACAGTGGCGGTGGTTGGCGATACGACGAGCAAAGGGAATCCTGGTACCAGGACGGGCCCCAGGATGCTTCGTGCGTCCTAGTTCCCACACTGACTCATGTAGACACAGAGAATACCGGAGAGAAAGATAACGGCGCAACTGGTGAAGACCGTAGCGAGAGCAGGCGGAAGGGGTCTCGACGAATGCCGCGCCGTTCATTGGGTTCGGGTGTTAGGGAAAAGGTGAGGTCTAGAAGGTTGAAGACAGAGCGTTAGACAGATGAAAGGACGAGAGCATGACTGCCGAGTTTGGCGACCCACACCCGGGTGTAGGTTGTCATGAGATCTTCCGTCATCGGTGCAAGCCATGGTGGGACCCTCCGCTGCTTGAAGCTCGAGTTGTGCATGTTCATTCACCCGTCGCTGACCACCGAACTAACTGAAACACCCCGAACAGGATGCCGTCAGGAGCACTGGAATGGTTGAGACCGACGCGAACGGGGCCGGGGGTCTCATCGAAAAGCGGATCGAGGCGCTCGAACTTGCTCTACAAGACAAGGGGAGACCCAACGACGCATGGCGAGAACTCAAGAGAGCACCTCCTTGAGGCAGTTTGAATATTCCGCTCGTGTCGGGCGATTTTTCCGGCACTGTACTGGGAGACGTCTTAGTTTTGCGGCCCGATGGAGCGACCACTACTGTACAAGATACAACGAGGGCATTGTATGAACCGCGGCGATGCACGCGAATGGACACGTCGGAATACTAAACGTGCGGCTCAACGTTGAGCGAAATGTGTTTTAGCTAGTACCGCTACAGGGCGAGCACTCGGAGTGATTCACTGTTGTTGCTGTTGTCTTCACATTTAAAACTGTTCCGTTCTCTCTGCCCAGTACCTCCTTCTATCCGTACTAGTCTAACACTTGACGGGGTCGATTCCCTTGGCCACAGGCTAACTTACCCAAAAAAGGTATACGAAAATAAGGTGGACCCGAAGGGTTCGCAAGCCAAAAAAAGTCAACGAAAGATAGTCTAGGCCACTCCGCTCGCCTCTACACGTTATGCGAGGTAACCCTAGCTTGGAAAAAGAAAGATAAAATAATAAAATGAAAAAGGGATAGAAAGAGGAAAAAGGCACAGACAGAGAAAGACACACGCCGTAGCGACAGATAACAAACAAACAAACAGAGCAACACAAAACAACACAAAACAACACAACACAAAACGGACCACCCGAGCCAACAAATGCACGTCATCCCTCGCGGGGGTGTGTGCAATGGTGCGGTGCCGCGGGGGGGGGGGGG